AAATTGTTTCAGATAAGGAACGGGACAAAATAAGGATTACCATTGGCCTTGTGTTTCCAAGTTTGAGAACAATTCAAGAGCAGGCACCTCTAGTTTGATTCAGTGCTAACTTATCTTCTCCTGGACTGGTGAGTAATACTATAAAGTCAGTTTTTTTTTTTTTTTTTGGTGTAACAGTCCTGTTAGACTTTTGTTGCAATTGCTGATTTGATTAAATGTAATGCTACAAATGTGGCATGTGGGTAATTTTTTGACGTTGACGATGGACCAGCGATGCACCAGACGCTACTGTTAAGCGAGGCGATTCATCCAGATAATACAGTTAGCTGTACTGTGTGTTGGTTACATTCTTTTAACCCCCTTTAGAAAAAAATTTCACTTTTTTAGAGTTTCTTTAGATTTCACCAAATCCAAGCAAAACAAAGATCAGTGTGCCTGATCTAATGTCCTTTAATTAAAGCTGTTTAGGCTTGCTAGTTCTACATTACAGAAAAATAAATGTCCTTTGAGTACCACTCTATTTTAGGTTTTTCAATAGCCTGAATGCGGTAACGAGCTCCTCCAGACCAGAAGAATGCCCGTCACTTTTTGGACATTTAGGTAAAAAGTCAAATAGTAAACGAAAAAATTAAATTGTGCAAAACAATGAGAAGTAGCAGCTAAATAATAAGTGGCGGTTAAAGCAAGGCAATGCTCTGTTTTTGTCCACTTTATGCCCATCTCCCCCACCCTCCTCCCCTCCTCCCTCTCCTTTCCAGGGCCTGCTGGCCTAATCCCAGCCAGCCAGCCTTGGGTGAACTCTTTGGAAGCTTCTTAAGCCCATGAATGTGCCTTTTGTTCCTGCCATTCCTCCGCTTGGCTGACAGAAAATAGCTAACTGGATTACTGCTAAAATTCAGAGTAAAGTGAACTCCCAAACTTCTGTATAGTTAAGTGCTAAGACAGTGCTCCCACTCTCGCCACCCCACCCTGTTCCTCCTCACTATCCTCATCAGCATCCCTTCGTATCAGACTTTCTATCCCTCCTAGCCTCCCTCTTTCTCCTCATCTGCTATTATCCCCCTAAACATGGGCCGGTGCAGTGGGGATCTGGTGAAGAAGAGAGGAGGGCGATTAGATGAGGTTGAGAGGTTGCACACTATGAACCCCAGGCTAAAAAGTAAGACTCCTAAAAGTGGTTAAGAGCTTATTAATGTGTGTAAGGAAGCGTATTAATCAACTCAACTCTATCAGTAGGCTGCTGTGTGTTTTTGTGTGCAAGTGCACCATTGTTCCTTAGTAGGAAGAATAAGAATTTGGAACATAAGTTTTGGTGTAACTAAGCAAAAGAAAAGTTGAGGTATTTGGTCTTATTTGTTTATTTCTTTATATTTGGATGGCTGTAGATATATATATTTATATCAATTCCTTTTGTAGCCTTTTAACAGTGTGTGTTTTCACATATATGTGCTTATTTGGATGTGGCAGCTTCCTCAAGGGCACAGGCAGAAATAACAGTAAAACAAGAAAGACGGAGGCGTAGACAGAAAAGACAAGGTCATACTAACAATTATCTTTCTCACTGCTGGGTCAAAGATCAAAATTCAAGAGGCTAGAACAAAAAGGAAGCAAGCTCACTTGTGGTATTGTGCACAAGTCTTCTTCTGAACATCTGAACACAAGTATATTCTGGCAAATATATCCGTTTAAGCCTGATTGGTTGATATATAAAATTATTGTGTTTGTATTTAAAAGGGTTTGGTAAGTAGAGTATTGATAAGATATTTTTTAGATAGAAAACAGGAAGGATATTGAAAACACTGGTTAGCAAAACCCCTAATCCTTTGACAAGCAAAGCTTAAAGGAATAGTACACCCAAAACATGATTAGCCTTCATTTTCTACTCACCCCATCTGGTTTGGACTGCCGCCGTTTCCGTAGACTCGTGAACGCGCTTTTAGGAAATCCTATACACTACTGTTTCTGCTCTAAAAACATTCTAAATGACTTCGTTTCGAGTAAATTATGGACGCTACCCACTCAGGACACTTGGAATACATTGGACGAGCAGTATGGAGGAATATT